AGCAAATAAACCTGTGTATGTTCCCGTTATTTATGATAAGATAAGCCGATGGGCGACTGATGGGTGTATGTTCCCATTATTTACCATAAGCAGCATGTGGCATATGAGAACAGAATTCACGAGAAAAAAAAATGGAATTTAAGCAACTCCCGTCGGGATTCTGAAACGGTCAAAAACTAAAATTCTGAGGGCTGCAATTGTATCAGAACGCTGGATTGTACTGGATTGTATGAGAACACTGGATTGTATGAGAACACTGGATTGTATGAGAACACTGGATTGTATGAGAACACTGGGCAGGTCCGCTCTTGGTCCAGGTTTGAGGAATTGAAAAAACATAAACAACAAACGGCAAAAATGAAGGACATCCAGTTGTGATCAAAGGAAGGAATGAGTGAAGGAAGGAGTGAAGGAATGAGTGAAGGAATGAGAGAAGGAATGAGAGAAGGAATGAGTGAAGGAATGAGTGAAGGAATGAGTGAAAGAATGAGTGAAGGAATGAGAGAGGGACATCCTGTCGTGATCAGTATGTGAGGGTCAGGGGGAGATATTCACAGCCGTGAGGCGGGGCACAAAGAGAACTAACTCCCACAACCCACCAGTGGGGACATCGCAGACAATGGACACAGGTGAAGTTTGTGGCTACACGTGTTGAACTGTCACCACACTCCTGCTGTTGATTGGCTACACGTGTTGAACTGTCACCACATTCCAGCTGTTGATTGGCTACACGTGTTTAACTGTCACCACAATCCAGCTGTTGAGAAACATAATCTCTTGTGCGGCTTCAAACCAACAAATTGCACAAACTGCAGCAACACATTCGCCCTACCTGTGTCCACAGGGCCAAAGTCTGACAAGTAACTCAATGTTTTCAGCACACCTTGTTTTCTACATATTATATATATATAAATATACAAGCACACTGTGTAAAACATCCACCTGTCTAAGACAACCACCTGTCTAAGACAACCACCTGTCTAAGACAACCCCCTGTCTAAGACAACCCCCTGTCTAAGACAACCATCTGTTTAAGACAACCACCTTCCTCCTCCACAAAGGGTGCATGTCTTGGACAAGTTCCACTGTATTTCAACGAAGTTTGCATAAAAAAACTAAACTAGAAAAAATCTCTTCCCAGTTATTGACATAAAAAAACAACAACTGACCATCGGTCATAATCACACTACCAGATACACACATGGTCCAGTAACTGACTCACAAACACACATGTGGTTCACTATCTGACTCACAAACACACACACATGGTCCAGTAACTGACTCACAAACACACACGTGGTTCACTATGTGACCCACAAACACACACACATGGTCCAGTAACGGACTCACAAACACACACACGTGGTTCACTATGTGACCCACAAGATGGTGAACAAACAGAACCAGGAGATGACCCCCACCCCCCCACCCC